TGGTTTGAATCTGGATTTTGTTATTTGCATCAGACAGCACCCTGATACCTTTTATCTGGCAAAGAAGGGCCATTCGGGTCCTTGTCTCTCCCCAGTTTCTCAGCAGCCACTTCTTCTACCTGTCCCCAACTCCTCCCCTTGGCTCTGGTCATACTCCACTGTGTGAAGTTCTCTTTTTCATCATTCTGCTTGGAATATCCTACCAACACCCCTCTACCTGGGAAACTACCACTCATCCCTCAGAACCCTGTTCAAAGGTCACTTAGTCTGTAAAGCCCCTGACAGTCCTGAACAGAATCAAGAACTTTCCCCTCTGGACCCTTCTATCACCCAGAAGGGCTTTGTTTTCTGAGTATGCATTATACTAGCCTCTGGGAAGGTAGGCAATTTTGTCATGGAACAGAAATATTAACTGATGAATAAACAACTTCTAATTTCAGTCCCCACTGAACATACATCTCTCCATATCGCCTGATTCCATCTGTCCCCCTTCTTCACTCCAGTCTTTGTCAAAGGTAATTTCTCCCAGATAGCTGGATTCAATGCAAATTATAGGTTATGCACCAGACTGCTAACTATAATTGCAAATCTTGCAAAAGAGATAAGATGTCCACGAGTAGATGAAAGTGATACCAGGAAACTTTGGAATCTGGCAGAATTAGACCCATGATGGTTACTTCTGAAGAAACTGATCTGACTGATGAAGCCTTCAAACATTTCTTCATCATGAGATATTTATTTACTTCCCTGCTGTGTATTGATCAGGCGATGTGCCAAACAGCTACAGTTATAACCATGAATAAGACAGACTTCCTGCCAGCCTTAATCTTATATTCCTTTGAGTAAGGTAGACTGTAAACACGTGCAAATACACTATATAATTTCATACAGTAATAAGTACTATGAAGAAAAAATAAAGATAAAGGCAATATGAATGAGATTCTGAATTTGGCTATAAAAATGTAATTTTCTGGAAAGAATGTGCTCTAAACAACATTGAAATATGCTCAGGGGACGGAACTGCACCTCCACTCTCCAGATTGGGCCCCTGTAGACATGACGACATTACCTGGCTCTGTCCCACTGAGCACAGTTGACTGGAGCAGGGGTAGACAGCTGACCCAAGCCAGGCCAATCAGATTCTCTCCTGGGAGTTTGAATATGGAATACTGGTTACTTAATGAGTGATGTAGAAGACAGATGATCCAGCGTTAGGGCTGGGGCAGTTGGCCAAGTACAGAGATGAGGAAGAAAACCAGCCTGCAGAGGGAAGATGAGGAGAGTAGACACGGAGCGACAAATGTTAGAAACTGAGCTGTCTTAGAGGGACAAAAAGTGGCTGCACTGGTCCCAATGGGTTTCCAGGTACAGATTCCAGTCTCTCATGAGGTCCAGTTGGAAGTCCTGCCCTTTGGATCTGAGAGTCCTAATTCTTCCAATAAGTTCTTACGTGGTTTCGGATAGTCTGAGTCTGTTTCCATGCCTTGCAAGCAAGATCATCATTTCTAGGAATGAATATAATGGTGAGGATCATAATGATGATGATAATAGCTAAATTTATTAAGTGCCAGGTGATGTCCTAAGAACTTTACATATGTTATCTATCCCAATCCTTACAACTCTGAGACAGGTACAATTCTTATTCCTATTTTACGAATGAGAAAACCAAAATACAGAAAAGTCACTCAGTGAGTGAGTAGCAGAATTGGTTTTTGAATCTAGACAGGTGGCTCATGCCCTTACCACTGCACTATCCTCTCAAAAATACCGGATATTCCACTGGACTGGAATTTTTAGAATGTATGAAGTCCCTGTGAACACGCTTGCTGGTCCTGAACAAAACCTCCAATCAAAACATTGATGCTGCTCTCTACACAGCTCACTCCAACTGAGGAAACAGCAGCAGCTTTAACAATTTAGCATTTTTTTAAAAATTGTGGTGAAATACACAAAAACATAAAATTTGCCATTTTAACCATTTTTAAATGTACAGTTCAATGGTGTTAAATACATTCATACTGTTGTGCAACCCTCACCACCATCCACCTCCATAACTCTTTTCATCTTGTAAAACTGAGACTCTAGGGGCCTGCCCGGTGGCGCACTGCTACAGTGCGCCGCTTGGGAAGCGTGGTGGCGCTCCCGCCGAGGGTTCGGATCCCACATACAGACCGGCCGCTCACTGGCTGAGCGAGGTGTGGGAGCAACACCGAGGGTTGCGATCCCGTTGCCGATCCCGTTGCCGATCCCGGTCCGGTACGGGCGCGACACTGAGGGTTGTGATCCATTGCCGGTCACGAAAAAAAGACAAAAAGGAAAAAAAAAAACCTGAGACTCTGTATCCTTTAAACAATAATTCTTCATTCCCCTCCTCCCAGCCCCTGGCAACCACCATTCTACTTTCTGCCTCTATAATTCTGACTATTATAAGTACTTCCTCTCAGTGGAATCATATAGTATTAGTCCTTTTGTGACTAACATTTCACTCAGCATAAAGTCCTCAAGGTTCATCCATGATGTAGCATATGTCAGAAGCAATTTAGCATTTTGACCACTTTGTTAAAACATTCACATCCCCTGACTACAAGCCAAAGAGTTTCTTGTAACCCTTTTTAATGCCTTACAGGCAGACGCTCTGATGTGTCTTAGTAGTTAAAAGTTGAGCTTGGACTCTGGATTGTCATAGGCCTGAGTTTAAATCCTGACTTTGCCTCATACTATGACCTCAGAAGTGTTATTTAGCTTTTCAGAGCCTCAGTGTCCCTATCTATAACACAAAAAGAAAATAATATCACCTCTCTCACATAGTTGTGAAGATTTAAGGAGATGAAAGGTTAAAGTGTTTACCAGATAATCTGAAAATAGAGTGGGTGAAGCTTATGTAAGTACACAATAAATCACAAGTATTGTGGTTTTTTTTTCATTAATTAAGTCTTTTTATTTATTTACTTATTTGGTGGTTGGCCGGTATGGGAATCAGAACCTATGACCTTGATGTTTTAAGGCTGTACTCTAACCAACTGAGCTAACTAGCCAGCCCTTAAGTATTATTATCGTGTCCCCTTGTATTAGTTTGTTTCTGTAGCTTATGACAGAATACCTGAAACTGGGTAATTTATAAAGAAGCAAAATTTATTTCTTACAGTTTGGGAGGCTGGGAAGTCATGGTCCAGGGAACACATTTAGTAGGGGCTTTCTTCTTGTTGGGAACTCTACAGAGTGCCATATCACATGACAAGAGAATGGGCTGAGCAAGAGAGCTAACCACCTCCCTCACCCTCCTTATAAAGCCATCAGAACCACACCCACAAGAACTCATTACTCCATGAATGGACTAATCCATTCATGAGGGCACAGTCCTCAGGATCCAGTCATCTCTCAAAGACCTCACTTTTCAAATACCATAATTGGATTTCCCATCCTCTCAGAAATGTTATAATGGGGGTCATTTCTAATACACAAACCTCTGGGGGGACACGTTTAATCCACAGCACCCCTTCTGTGATCCATATCTGCTGTTTCTGCCGTTTCCCCTTCCTCTGGAAAAAGTTTCCTAGTTTTCCTTAGGAACAACTTTTTAGATGCAGGTCTACCTACTGCCTAAGCAATGGCACCATGACCTTGGTTAGCCCAAGCAGACACTTTTGCCTTAGAATCTGGAGTCATTCAAAACTGAAGGGGAAAATATGAACAGAGAAACAAACAACAATTAGAAAAAACTGTAAAAAAGGGGCCGGCCCGGTGGCACACTGCTACAGTGCGCCGCTTGGGAAGTGCAGCAGCGCTCCCGCCGAGGGTTCGGATCCCACATACAGACCGGCGGCTCACTGGCTGAGCGAGGTGTGGGAGCAACACTGAGGGTTGCGATCCGTTGCCGGTCACGAAAAAAGACAAAAAGGAAAAAAAAAAAAAGAAAAAACTGTAAAAAAACAAACAAACACAAAAACCAATAGTAGTCTATGTGTCCCCACCAAAGAACTCAGACAGGACTTAGCCTTTAGCTCCCACTGCCTGGTTCCTATCTTTTTCAAGATCTGGTCCTCTGGCTTTTCCATAGATTCTTTAACTCTCCCATAGTCTCCAGTAAACTTCTTAAGTTAGGCAGAGTTGGTTTCTATCGCCTGCGACAAAATAACTTTAACTAGTGCACTGTTTAAATGAAGACAAAGACTGTATGAGACTCAACAAACTATTTAATCCCCTCTCCCTATTCCTCTGGGCAAGAAGCATATTAGTTGCCTATTGCTGGGTAACACATTACCCCAAATCCTTACTATCTCACAGTTCATGTGTGTCTAAAATTCTGGGGCAGCTTTGCTGAGTGGTTCTGGCTCAGGGTCTCCCAGGGAGGTCACAGTCAGGATGTCAGCCAGGTCTGCAGTCATCTGAACATTTGACAGGGGCTGGAAGATCAGCTTCTAAAATGGCTGACTCTCATGGCTCACTATTGGCAGGAGGCCTCAGTTTTTTGTCACACGGACCTGTCCATAGGGCTGCTGAGTGTCCTCACGACCTGGGAGCTGGCAGGCCCCAAAGAAAAGGATTAGAGAGAACACTACAGGAGCCACAATGTATTTTATGACCTACCTTCTGAATTCAAACTCTATCATTTCCTCAACAGCCTACTGCTCACACAATCAGCCCTATCCAATATAGAAGCAACCACAGAGTGTGAATACAAGGAGGCAGGGACGCTGGGGGCCATCTTAGAGGCAGGCTGCCATACAGGGGACGCCTAAAAGCCTTGGAGGGTGCTAATATCTAGCCACCATCCTCCTTTCACTTTAGCTATTTCTACTCACCTAAGACCCTAAACAAACATTCATTTCAGAAACCCACAGTAATTTACAAGCAATGGTAGAAGGAACATGTATATAAAGGAAAAGATGCAAAATAGGCAGGTTGAACCAGGGAGGTGCATGTGCAGAGGAAAGACGACATGAAGACACAGTGAGAAGGCAGCTGTCTGTAGGCCATGAACAGAGGCCTCAGAAAAAAACAAACCTGCTGGCCCCTTGATCTTGGACTTCTAACCTCCAGAACTGTGAGAAAAAAACTTAAGCCACCCAGTTCTGTGGGATTTTGTTACGACAGCCCTAGAAAACCAATACCTGAGCCCAGTAGACTGTCCTGGGAGGCTGACTTTTCTGTGAACTAACTCCCAAACTCCACTGTGTAATGTGGTATCAAAACCAGACACGAGGACTTCCTTTCCAGGCAAGGAGGTGAGATGGGCTGGGCTCCCCTGGCCAACTGCTGAGGATGGGCCTGCCATGGAGCCATAAATGTACTGTGTGCAGCCGCAGATTCTGTTTCCACTCTTAGTTCCATCTGCAAGCTTCCTGATGCGCCCCAGGCCGCCTCCTCCTCTCCTCTGAAAGCAGTTTCCAAGGGTACAGGTTCCTAGGGCCATCTCCACTGCCCTGCACATCCAATGTCTTGCACATCTTCTCCCTAGCTGGAAAGAACCTTCCGGATTCGTTCTTGCACTTCCTTTGGTCCCAAGGACACCATCATCTCAGCTACAGGAGGTCCTTGCTAAGAACAAAAAGAGAAAACATTGCCTTATTGCCCAAAACTGCCCAAGGAACTTATGCTCAGCCCAGTCTGCAGAAGTTATTCCCAGGCCAGCCCCAGCACTGCAACCTGCATTCCAAGGAGCAGAGCTTGCATTTTATTGGTCTTTAATTTCCGTGGATGGGTCCCAGGAGCCTGTTTTTCCCATATTAAGTAAACTATTGATATGTCTGTTATCCCCAATAAACCATAAACTCCATGAAGGCAGGGATCATGTGTATTTTGTTCACTACTATATCCACTGTCCCTAGCATGGTGCTCACGCACAGGAGGTATAAAATAAATATCATCTGTTGAAAGACTGAATGAGGGGAGAGATCATATTTGTATCCCCAAAACTGAGCTCCGTGCCTGCCACTAGGTGTTAGTTGAAGGGATAAATGAGGGGCTCCAGAGAACAGTCCAGCCCATCGCCCCGCCTCACCAGCTGTCCACTGAGGGCCACTCGGAGGAGTTTCATGACATTACTGTGCTTGGTGCCTTCCAGACCTTCTGACAGCTTCTTCAGTTCTCCATTCAGCGCATCCTGAGTTAAGCCCGTGCCAGATCTTTCTAGAAGCCTAGAAGAGGGCCAGACTATAAGGGGCCTGCAAGGGCCAATGGCAAGTGGGTGGGAGGGAGAACTTGAGAAGATTATTGGCCGGCTACAATATAAGCAGCACAACCAATGCTCAAGCCTGTTTTGGGGAAGGAGGAAGATATCTACCACCCACTTCCCCTATCCAAGTTGGAGAAGAAAAAACAACCAAGGGACCACATACATAGATAATCCAAGCAAGAAGACATAATAAATATAAGGAACTAAGAGGGTACCATAACAAGAGGATTTACTTCTTGTTACTTGTGTTATGTAGTCTCATTGCCTCCGCTTTCTCATCTGTCAAGTGGGAATAATAATAGTATCTGTCCAGCACTGGGCTATGGTGGAGAGGTAAATTTGCAAAGCACCAAGTTCAGCGCCTGAACACATGATATGTACTCAAAAGTATGAGATTTTGGATCTGAATAAAAAGTTGCAGGGATTTTGTTTGTTTGTGTTAGGTTTTGTTTTTTTGGCGGCTGGCCAGTACAGCAATCCCCCTTGACCTTGGTGTTCTAACCAACTGAGCTAATGGGCCAGTCTTTTTAAATTAAAAGTTTTTAAAAGTCAGCTAAGATTTATTACATCTAAGTGTTCAGAGACATTGCAAGATGATCTAGAAAGAAACTTAGAAATGGGTTAGACATAGGATGGAAGAATGACTATTTTCTGGGAAATTATCTGAAACATAGCTTCAAGATTGGTGGGTGAAAATCTCTTTGGGGTTGTAGCACAGAAGAGCAGAAAGAAAGAAATCAGGAGAACCCAGCTCCAGGAATGGCCTTGCCACAAGCTTGCTACAACCATTCTTTTCTCACAAACTGAAGCACTTAAGGATCTAAAATCCCATGGGCTGGCAACACCCCCCCGCCTCCTCCTGCCAGTCTGAGAGACTCTCCCAAAAGGTTTGAGTTTCAAGAGAAATTCCCCATTCAGTTAAGAGCTGGATTTGCAAAAAATTTGCCCTAGCCCTAATTCTGAGTCAAAGCAAAAGATGGGAATAGACTGGAGGTGAGTATATGCCACAGCAATCTCCCAGTTCCTCTAAGTTTCTATCAGAGATTCCAAACTGGAGACACTGGAGAGGGACTGAAGCTGGTGTGGATGATCTATGATGCCAGTTTTGACACTGTCTGCTCACAACGGGGTCTGGACAACTGCATTCCAAAGGTCGACTCAGTGTGCAGTGCCGGGGTTATCAACGACTTGAAGAAACAGCCTTTTAGTGCAGACAGATTTCCTCACTAACTGCCAGTACTTGAGCAACTGAGCTTCAGTTTAAGACAAAACTAACTGTTCTTATCACATCATTGCTACAGTCTGAATGTTGTGTCCTCCTAAAATTTATATGTTGAAATCCTAACCTCCAGGATGATGATATTAGGAGGTGGGGCCTTTGGGAGGTGATTAGTGCCCTTATAAAAGAGACTCCAGAGACAGCCCTCAAACCTTCTGCCACATAAGGACACAGCAAAAAGACATATGAGGACAGGGCCCAGGAACCAGGCACTCAATAAGCCAGCACTCTGATCTTGAACTTCCAGCCTCCAGAACCATGAGAAATAAATGTCTTATTGTTTAAGCCACCAGTCAATGGTATTTTTTTATAGCAGCTCCAGTGGACTAAGACAATCATTAACTAAGCCACGTAGTTACTATTTTATGAAATCAAGGAGATGAAATGCTGAAAATATAAAATGTAATGTGGGAAAAAAACACACTGTCCCTAATGTCACTGTGAGGAAGCAGGCTTCCAAGGAGCTGACAAAAAAAAAAAAAAATGACAGCCCTAGGCAGCCAACAGTGACAGCTCAGGACATTAGAGCTGGCCCAGAGCCTGGCATGGGCATAAAAGAGACTTCTAGTGATCTGGCAGCTTCTGAACATTTGGGTATCAGGTTGCCTGACTTCAGTGGCAGTCCCAGTGTCTCAGAAATCTAATCCCATGGCTGGGATGGGAGTTAAGACATTGGTGCTGGTGAATTAGAATTAATAGCTCCTATGGTGGAATGCCCTAAATTAAGAGAGTATATATTATTAATAATAATAGCTCTTGGAAATATATCCTGCAAACATACTTAATAATGTCTATACAAGGTCATTGCAAACATACTTAATAATGTCTATACAAAGTTATTCACTGCAGCATTGTTTGTAACAGCAAAATTTGGAAGTAACCTAAATGTCCACCAATAGGAGATGAATTAAATACATCACGGTAAAGCAGTATAATGGAGTATGTGTAGCTGTAGAAAAGAATGAGGATGCTCTCTAAGCACTGGACAAATCTAATGATGCATTGTTGAATGAAAAAAACACCCAAAAGACAGAGAACAGTGATACTATGGCGTACCTTTGTGGTAAAAAGTGAGGAAAATAAGAATTATTCAGATGTAATTAAGAATAGTAGTAACCCCCAGAGGCTTCAGGAGCTGGACAGATGGGTGACAAGAACTAAAAAGATGACTTCCAATGTATACCATTTAAAAAATAATAATAATTTCTAAGTTTCAAACCAAGGTTTAAAAGGTTTGAATGTATTAATAATCAAAATATTGAATTTAGGGCTGGCTGGTTAGCTCAGTTGGTTAGAGCACAGCCTGGTAACACTAAGGTCATGGGTTTGGATCCCCGCATGGGTCAGCCACCAAAAAACAAAACAAAAAATATATATTATAATATATTGAAGCTTTCTAGGTATCAGACACTGTCCGAGCACTTTACAGATTAAAAAAACAATAAAGAATATGGTTAGACATATGATTTTTAGACCCAGACTGCCTGGGTTTAAATCCCTGTTCTTCCACTTACTAGACGTATTATTTTGAAGAAGTTACTTGACCTCCCTGTGCCTTAATTTTCTCATCTGTAAAATGGGGATAATAACATTACTTATTTTATTAGGTTGCTGTGAATTTAAGCACATATGTACTTATACACACCCATGTGTGTATATATATATGTATATATAAAAAATAGCACATTGTAAGCAAACACACACACACATATACATATATTTTTGGTAGTTGGCTGGTACAAGGGTCTGAATCCTGGACGCTGGTGTAATAACACCATGCTCTAACCACCTAAGCTAACTGGCCAGCCCACAAAAACATAAGTATTTGTGATTATTATCTAATTTCCTCTTCACAGCAAACCTGGGAGGTAAGTAAAATAAATACCTGTGGATTTTTCTGCCCAGCATCCATCCCCTTTTCTCCTGATACCAATGTCCCAAATCTCCCTAGGGAATTTTCCATCCCCCCCATTCTCAGCCCATGTGCTCTGGCTGGGGGTCCACTCAGGGTCCAGCATATGACCTAAGCCTAAGCCAATTAGCACTTTACATTCTCCAGGCCTTGGTGACTGGTTCGAAGACAGGAAAACCAGGCCAATCAGGCCCAGTCAGAGTTAATACCAAACTACCTGGGAAGAGGTAATCTCAAAATGCCGCTGGAGTCTGAAGCAGAGGTTCTGCGGTATGTAGTGGCCGAGGCTATCTTACAACAGTGGGAGACTGAGAGATGCTGCTAATGATCCCCCAGTATCCTTTCTCCCTTTCTCATGCAGTCATAGAATTTTTAGCCGGCCACATGGCTGCCAAGTTAAAAAACTACATTTTCCAGATTCACCTGCAGCTTGGTGTGGCCAGAAGACCTAGTTTTAGCCAGCAGGGTAGGGGTAGAAATGGTATGTATAGCTTTTAAGGTCCTTATGGGGAAGGAGTGTCCCATCCCCTTCCCCTTTTCCTCCTTTCTCCCCTCAATGAATCATGGACAGTCCATGAGCCACCATGGACCACGCAGAGAAGAGCAAAACCTACAGACGCAGGACCCTTGACACATAGAAAACTGGCTGGCCCCAGACTGCCTCCTGGGAGAAGTGTACTTCAATAGGAGATTGGCACTGTCATTTCTTTGGGGTGGTAGGACTCCTGCCCCTGTCTACCTAATACAGAGCCTCTGCAGAAAGAGACCAGCATGGTGCAGTGGGGAGCAAAAAGTCAGAGGCACAGAGAGACAAAGTAGGTCTTGGTAACACACTGCTGGCCCCTGCATTAAGCTGTGCCTTAAACAACCTTTCCTCTGGCCTTTGCAATTACAGAAACAATCATTCCCCCTTGCTTTAGCCATTCTTGGTTGCATTTTCTGCCCTTGTCAATGAAAGTTCTGTTACTGTTACTGTATGATTTCTATCTTATAGATGACGAAATGGTGGCTCAAAGAGGTGCAGTAACCTGGCCAAAGTGAAGCCACCTGGGCAAGGCAAGATAATGTGGTGAGTAAGTGGCAGAACAGGAATGCACCCCAGGTCCATGTGAGCCACCGAACTCACTGCCTGTGTCCAGGGAGAGCCTGGGTCCTCTGGGTAAGGCCTCCTTACCAAAGAAAGCCAGTGAGCGATCATTCCCCCACTAGCTGTAGGGATGTGCTAGGGGCCCACAGCCATGCCCTGGAGGAAGTGGGGCCATGGGAGGGAGAGAGAGGAGGACATGTGTGGAACCCAGAGCTCAGCTGTGGTACTCACCCCAGCACGCGCTCGGCAATCACGTCCACATTCTCCGAGATGGCGCCAAGCTGTGCTCGCCCCACAGCAGGGCGAGTCCACAGATAGGAGTATGCTGGGGAGACCAAATCCTGCAGACGGCAAATGTGACCCTGGGGAAGAAGGCAGTCACTGGGGACAGGGCTCTGAACACACTGGAAGGGAGCAGGACTGCGGCACCCCCCGACCCCACACCTGTCTCAGCAGGATGATCCTTTCCACGTAGTCAAGAACCATTCTGAGATGCCTGGCCCCTTGTCCCTGGCACAGGAAGCAGGCAGTAAGGTGTGGTGGGCATCTCATGGGCTCTGGAATCAGGCAGGCCTGAGTGTGAAGCCTGCCCTGGAGAACCATTCTGAGATGCCTGGCCCCTTGTCCCTGGCACAGGAAGCAGGCAGTGAGGTGTGGTGGGCATCTCATGGGCTCTGGAATCAGGCAGGCCTGAGTGTGAAGCCTGCCCTGCCATGTGTGTGCAGCAAGTTACATAACCATCAGGAGCTCAGGATCCACATGTTAAAATGGGGACAAGTGGGCCTCCTGCACAGGGTGGCTGTGAAGATTCAAAAGATAGACTGTAGGTAAAGCACTGACAGTGACACTGTATTACCAGCACATTCAGGAGCTGCAGACAGGCGGGGGGTCTGCAAACAAGCTTGGGTAGGTCAGAGGGTAGAAGGACGAGACCCTCCGGGAAATTACTTGGAATGCAGACTGGCCAAAAAACATAACAATGATATTTTTTTGAATATTTTTTTTAAAAAGGCATTAAGAGAAATGCATGAAAGTGGTTCTGAAACTGTTTCTAGAACCTTCTTAGTAGACAGATGAGATAGTAGAAAGAAAAACAAATCAAGAGAACCTCGTGGCCATGCTTGGGATAATGTGGGTAAGGTCCAGGGCCTAAGACACAGTCTGCTACACAAATGTGAAGCACTATGGCTACTGCCACTGCTCCACCAGCACTGCTCCTGCTGTGACAACTCCCGTTACCATCCTTACTACTAGTGCCGAAATAATCATGGCAGTGCCTTGATTATATAGACGTCTAAAGATGACAGCCTCGGCTGCATTAAAACTGTGAGTATCAGTCTTCATGCTCCATCCCCTCCCTGATTCACGTTATGCACAAGTCCACCTCTGTCTTCATTTAGGCTACTTATTGCTTGTTCTATGGGGAGGACCAGAATGGATCACAAAGCACCCTTCCTGTCCTGACTCCACCTCCCCCTGGGATAGCACTTTCTCTATGATAAAAAAGCTAGAAGAACAAGCTACATTAAACACATATGTTCATTCACTTTTCTTTTTTGTGGTGGCTGGCCAGTACAGGAACCTGAACATTTGACCTTGGTGTTACATCACCACTCCCTAACCAACTGAGCCAACCGGCCAGCCCCTGTGCATTCACTCTTGAATGCCCCATTCAAGAGATGCCCTCTGTTTACTGTGTGCACTTGGGCTAGTTACTTAACATCTATACATCATGTGTTCCTCATATGTAAGATAGGGCAAAATCCTACAATCAATCTCATAGGTCTGATGGGAGAAGTAAATGAAGTGATATCCCTAAAACACCTGCAGCCAATGGAATTCTCTGGGCTCACACAGGTAAAAGCACCAAGGAAAGAGTCTGCCCCAAAACTGTGTTCAAGAGAAGGCACCAATGAGTCCCTTGCCTCCAGATGCAAACCTGGCTGCTGGCTTTACAACTAATTCCCTTTGACTGAAACGTGTCAATAATTATCTGAATTGTAACTATATCCGGAGGTTTCAAAGTGAAGAACTACTTGAAACATCAAATACATGAAATATAAACTAGATGCCATGAGACAGTGCTCATTCACTGTGTTTGCTGGGTGGCGGCTGGGTAGTGATTCTAAAATGAAGATGCCCTTCTCCAGGCTTTGGTTGTTAACAGTATCCATGCAAGGGGTGGCCAGGAACATAATGCCAACAATAAAAACAATATCTACCATTTACTGAGCATTTTATATGCGCCAGGGGCTGTGCAAGATATTTTCATGGAACATTTAATTCTTACAACAATCACATAAGATGGGTACCATTATTAGTCTGGTTTTAGAGAAGAGGAAACAAAGGCTCCGAGAGGTTGGGTGTGTGACCACGTACCTGTGATCACATAGCATTAGACACTAGAGCCCGAAGTCAAAATCAGGTATGTGTGACCCTAGAGCCCACTCTACTCTCTGCCAGAGCCCCATCATGAGCAAGAAAACCCTTTTCTACCAGACAATCTCCACGCTTACCACTCACCTGTTGAATTCTGGGAGCTTGTCCAGATCCAGCAGGGCTGAGTGACAGGTGATCCGGCTCACGTCGAACTGTGTTATCAGCTCTGGCAGGGTCCTGCCCATCTGGTTCTCTGCAAGTGAGGAAGGCTCAGCCACTCAGCTTCCTCTCTCCGTTCCTCCATACACTTTCAGACACAAGGGATGCTGAGTGAGCAAGCTCTAGGCTCCCCATTCCACTTCAACCAAAGGGATTCAAATTCTAGCTATATATCAAGGGCTTGAATGAGCTTTCACTTTCAGAAAGGATTCTGTCACTAAGAAAAAAAGGTGTGAAAACAATCAAATCAGGCTAAACCAATCCTCATTACCCTCAAAGGTGTGAGCCATAGGAATAGTGCACTCATTGCCCTGTTTTACCCCAGAGATTCTGATTCAACTGGTTTTGGGTGGGGTCTGAGCATCAGTACATATTACAAGTCTCCCAGTTGATTCCAAAGTACAGCCAGAGTTAAGAACCGCAGTGCTGGGAGCTGCTTCTCATGAGCAGCATCTTTGTCCCACACAATCAGTGGGCATCATGGTCAGGCACAGGCCTAAAATGCTATATTCCTTACTAAGCTGTGTGACTTTGGCAACTTACTGAACCTCTCTGAGCCTCACAACCCTCTTACAAACAGTAGGGATAACAAATATCTACCCCTCAAGGATATTTTAAAGGTTAAGTGAAATGAGAGCAGAATAAACAACAAGAAGACTATTAACACTACATTTTCAGAAATCCTTGCCGCAAAGAGGTCAACTTATTTGGTGCTTGCTTCTTCAAGGTTTGGGCTCTAAGACTTGGGCCAAGGATAAGGGCTCAGCTTGGAATAAACTAGATTCGTAGTAATACTTGTAACACTGTTAGAGTACATACGTGTCACTGTACAATCACAGAATCTGTACAGTTTTGTACTTACTGTGTGGTGGGCACTGTGCTGGGTGCCTTACATCATTCATGAGCTCAGTGAATCCTACCTTAACACTATGACGAAGGTACTTATCCCCACTGCACAGGTGGGGCAGCTGAGGCTCATAGACTACAAGCTCCTTGAGTGCGGGGATTATGTCTGCCCTGATCATTGTTATAGCTCAGTGTTTGACTCAATAAGCACTTGTTCAATAAAAGAATGAACTTGTCCAAGATCATGTGGCTGGTAGGTGACAAAGCTAGACTGCAGACCAAGTCAACCTTAACCAAAGCCTCTGTTTTACACGGCTATGCTCTCTGCCACTGGGATCACTTGAGGGGGCGGATACCTGCAAACCCCGAGCCACAGTTAGTGATGATGTCGAGCAAGGCATCGGGCAGGAAGCCAACAGCAGCAAAGTGCTCCAGGAAAATGTCTCCTTGCCTCTTGGATAGCTTCCTGCCATCCTTGTTGAGGAGCAGGGGCAGGTGGGCAAAGTGAGGTGGCTGCCAGCCCAGGGCCCGGTAGAGAAGCAGATGCTTGGAGGTGGAGACAAGCCACTCTGAGCCCCGCAGCACATGGCTGATGCCCATATGGTGGTCGTCCACCACACAGGCCAGGTGGTACGTGGGGAAGCCGTCACTCTTCAGGATGACCGGGTCTCCCTCCACACTGGCCACTTCATGCCGATTCCAGCCATAAACCAGGTCCTGGAAGGCTGGTGCCTCCTCCTCCAGACGGAAGCGGATAGCAGGCTTGGGTTCCTTGGCCAGCTTCTGGGCCACCTGCCCCTGGCTCAGGTTCCGGCACCGATTGTCATACCTGGTGGGAAGCAGACAGCATAGTAGCTAAGAGTAGCATTGATGGACAGGAGACTTGCCCTTGTCTCTGGTAGCTGCATGACCTTGGTAAGTCATTTACCTCTTCAAACTATTTCCTCAGTCTGCAATGAGATGATAGTAAGGTAGTTTGTGAAAACTAAGTGACACAATATAGCGTGGTAGACGCTAATGTTTGCCCACCTACCAGCTGTCCCCCTTTCTCCTTGCTAATGAGGAAATGGCAGAATGCTTCATCCGAAGGGGTTGAATCATGACTGGTATAGCCAATCTTGCAATCCCATTGCCCTATGCCAATGACCAGTCCAGGTAGGAATATAACCTCGTCCTAGTCATTGACACTCAAAGAAAAGTACGCTTGGGGGATAAGGGAGAGCCAAGGGTCTGGGAAACATTTTTCTTTCTGAAAGACAGCAAGAGAGCCACAAGAGAAAAATTCCTTTTTTTTTTTTTAGTTTTATTTTTTTATTTCCCACCTCCCCCCTCTGTCCTCTTGGGATGTTGTCCTGTGAGGGGAGCATGCTTAGAGCTGCTGCAGCTACTAGCAATTGAGGGAGGGAAGGCAAGGAAATCAGAGACAGGCCAAAATAGAGCCCTGACATCTCCAAGCTGCTGGTCTTACCCTGGAGTCACCCACCTGTATACTTCTGCACAACAAGAAGTTAAATATCTGTGTGGCTTATGCCCTGGTTACTCAAAGTGTGGTCTGTAGACCCCCAGCATCAGCCTCACCTGGAGCTTGTTGACAATGCAGACTCTCAGGCCCCACCGTAGACCTACTGAGTCATCTGCATGTTAAGTAGATCTCCAAGTGATTCATCTGCACATTAAAGTATGAGAATCTCTGGTTTGTCACTTTTAACAGGGTATTCCATTATTTGCATCCAAAAGCATCCTGAGTCACAGACGTAAGACTTGTAAACTTAGTCCTTGATATGGCTAAGTGTTCAATCAATAAATGGCTACACGGATTCCACAATAGAGCTTAATGTAATTTTAAAAAACAATCCTGTCAAAGGACAGATTGTTTTTAATAAAAAAGCAATGCTGCAGTGAATGTCACGACCTTCTACAAACATCTGAGCCCTTGTCCAAGTAGTTCACTGAAGTGGAACTTAAACGTTAATGATGCTACTGTTGATAGGGGTGTACATTGGCAAAGGACCACTAGGCAGTATCTATCAAAGCTACAAACTGACCCTGCAATTCCACATCTAGGAAGGTGTCTGCCAAGCACACTGTACGTGTGCAAAATGATGTCTGGCAATATTAGTCATCACAGCCGGTCAGCTCAGTTGGTTAGTGTGGTATTGTAACAACAAGGTCAAGGGTTCAGATCTCCATACTGACTGGACACACACACATACACACACGCACGCACGCACGCACACACGCACGCGACAAGTAAGTTGTACAACATTCTGTGCACAGTATATTGTGCACTACCATTTGAATACAGACTAAGAAGAAACCATACAGACTTATCAGCATACACACTGAATATCCCTGGAGGAAACACAAGAAAATTCTAACCCCAGTTGTTCCTGGAGAGCAAAACTGAATGGCCAGAGTCAAGGTTGGGAGAGATATCTTTCAATATATTTCTTTCTGGACCTTTTTTTTTTTTTTTCCCCTTTTTGTCTTTTTTCGTGACCGGTAACGGGATCGCAACCCTCGGTGTCGCGCCCGTACCGCGACCGGCAACGGGATCACAACCCTCGGTGTCGTGCCCGCACCGCGCTCAACCAGTGAGTGGACTGGTCTCTATATGGGATCCGAACCCTCAGTGGGAGCGCCACCGCGCTCCCAAGCGCCGCACTCTACCGAGTGCGCCACCAGGCCAGCCCCTTTCTGGACCTTTTAAATATAGAACACAAGAAAGTTTTACTTACTTTACATGTTATTATCTGAGATCCTTGTATGTGGCAGGCAGCTTTGGCATGGCCCCCAATGATCCCCACTTCCTGATTTCTGCCCTGTGTGTAATCCTTTCCCTGAGTGTGGGCAAGCCATAGTGACTTGTCTAATGAATAGAATGCACAAAAAGTGATGAGATACCATATCCACAATCATGTGGATTCAGCTTCTGCCTGGCCTACTCTCTGGCTCTCTCCCTGGTTCACTGTGAGCAAAGCCAGCTGCCATGTTAAGATGCCCTATGGAGAGGCCCACGTGGCAAGAAACTCATGTCTCCAGTCAATGTCTAGTAAGGATCTGAGGTCCGCCAATAACCTCATGAGAGAAGACAGAAGCAGATGTTCCCCAGGTCAAGCCTTGAAATAACCACAGGCCTGGCCAAGACCTTGATTACAGCTTTGGATGAAACCCTGAGCCAAAGGACCCTGCTAAGCTGTGTACAGATGCCTGATCCACAGAAACTGGGAGGTAATGCAAGTTTTGGGGTAAATTATTATGCAGCAATAGATAAGGAACATACCCAACGTTGGGGAGGCATCTTTGAAGGTCTGGGGCTCTTACCGGGGCGTCTGGCGGTTCCTCAGGGCCTCCTTCTTCAGGAGCTCCAGCCGCTGTGGTGAGCAGAAACAGGGGTAGGCAGCTCCAGTCTTCAGCAGCACTTCTGCGGCCCGGGCATATAGCTCCAGTCGCTGAGACTGCTGGTAGGGCCCTGCAGGACCTCCCCGACGGGGGCTCTCATCGGGAGGGATGCCTGGAACAGGGCAGAGAGAATCACCATCAAACAAAAGTAACTCACGTGCACAACACAGTCATTTCCAGGCATTGTTCTAAGCACCTTACATACATATTAAAGCTTTCAAACCTCACAATAATCCAAGAGGTAGGTACTATTACAATTTCCTTTTTATTTTTTGGGGGGGTGGCTGGCCGGTAAGGGGACCCAAACCCTTGACCCTGGTGTTATCAGCACCGTACTCTCCCAAGATGCTTTCCCTTTCAGAGATGAAGTTAAATCACAGAGAGGTTGGCACTCAAGGTCAGGCACAGGTACACGGGCTTCATCGCCCATGCTCTTATCTGTACGTTCTCATTTCTCCATCTTCTCCCTGGTGAGGGAGAAACCAGTTCAGGCTTGGGAACAGCTGACGTGGGAGAGAGAAGCATGGTTCAGGGCATAGCCTGTCACTTGCTGTGACAGAGGATCCCAAAGCACTGACAATATGTGAGATCTAGGGTGCTGAGCACCATGCAGGATGTTTCATGTCCCACAGCCTCAAAATCACCCTACCAGGCAGGTGCTGTTATTGACCCCCTTGTGTAAAGAGGAAACTGAGGCACAGAAGTGCTTTGTTATGTCACTTGGCCAAGGACAAGGGGCACAACCAGATTCACACCCAGGCTAGTGAGCCCCAGTTCTCACCCGCTCATTGTACTACCTCTTTGCATTACTTAGCCTTTCTTTTTTTTTTTGTCCTTTTGGAGACCGGCCACAACACGCTCAGCCAGTGAGCGCTGTGAGCGCACCGGTCATCCCTATATAGGATCCGAACCTGCAGCGGGAGCGCCACTGCGCTCCCAGCGCCACACTCTCCCGAGTGCGCCACAGGCTCGGCCCTACTTAGCCTTTCTAAGCCTCAGTTTCCTCCTCTGAAAAGTGGAGCTAAGGGCTTGCTGGGCAGAGTGATTGTGCCAACTAACACGTTAATGTTTACAAAGCACTGAGCCCCGTGGCTTACCTGTATGTGCTGTAGATTACATATGATCTGTGATAAGCCAAACCCCCAACCAACGTCCCATTTCCTCAGATGGTGTAGGATAGAATTAACTTTAAATGAGGGGGGCCAGTTAGCTTGGTTAGAGCTCAGCCTTATAACATCAAGGTCATGTGTTCAGATTCCCACACTGGCCGGCCACAAAAAAAAAAAAAAAAAAAAAAAAAAAAAAAAAAAAAAAGAATAAAAATAAAGAATTAACTATTAATGATTCTAGTAGAGAGCAAAAGGGACACAGCAACTGGAGGAAAGCGTTTCTACCTTCAAAAAACTTTCGAATGAATTAGGAAGAAGAGTTCATGATTCACCATTACTCTCAATGTTAACACAAACTCTGGAGGCGGGTTGGCCTGGGTTCAAGCACACCAGCCAGCTCTCAGAGCTTGGGCAAGCCACCTTTCAGGGTCTCCACTTTTTCATTTGTAAAAGAAGGATACAAGTAGTAACTTTCTCATGAGAGTCACCACAAGGCTAGAATGTGATGACATACGTAAGGTGCTTTGCACCTTGCCTGGCACATGCCAAGCAGTCAGAATGTCTTGGCTTAGGTTATTAGTAGTATTATCTAGCTCCCTTTCTCCCAGGGCTTTTGTTTCATCATTTGTCAGAAAAGAGGGTTAGATCAAGTAATTTGGGGTACCTTTCTAACTTTAAACAAGTCTCTTTAACGTGGTCAGCATCTTGGAGTGCCCCAGGAGTTAAGAGTGACTCCCCTAGGAGAACTGAAAACATATGTTCCGACAAAAATGAGCATGCAAATGTTCAGAGCAGTTTTATTCACAATAGCCAAAAAGTGGAGACAACCCAAATGCCCATCCACTGGTGGATGGATAAACAAAATGTGGCATACAATGAGTATCATGTGGTCATAAAAAGGAATGCAGTACTGATACATGCTAGCACACAGATGAACTTTACGTTGAGTAAAAGAAGCCAGTCTCAACAAGCCACATGTTGTATGAGCCCATTCACACGAAACGTCCAGGAAAGGCAAATCCACAGAAACAGGAAGTAAATGAGTGGGCACCAGCAGTTGCAGGAGGGAGAAATGGGCAGTGACTGCTGATAGGTGTGGGATTTCGTTTTGGGGTGATGAAAATGTTCTAGAATTAGATAACGGTGATGATTACACAACACAGTGATTATCTGTAAATAATACTAAATACTAATAACAGCTGTAAAAATGATACTAAAAACCACTGAATTGTATACTTTGAAATGTACAAAGTACACCCTCAATTAATTTTAGCTATTCCAGCACCTGCAACAGTGCCTGGATCATGGTAAATGATCTTGAATGAATTCCTTTACTCAGTAAACCTCGACTAGGCATTTGCTAAAATCTTCCATAATAGAAGACAGAAATGAACTTGGTTTCTGCCCTTTAGGAACTCAGAGTTTAGTGAATAATTTACCTGAGGTTAGAATACATATCTCAAAACAGTCTCGGTATTTTTCCTTGAGGATCTTAACCTTCATTAGTCATACCTGTCCCTACAGCTAGGCAACTATTGATGCAGGAAGTGCAAACACAATCCTCCTTGTTCTCCCTGAGCTTAGCTGTCCTCAGGATTAAACTTCCCACAAGAAGATGGACTGAAGTTTTGTTTAGCTCTTACAATAGGGTTTTAAAAAAAAAACTGAGCCCATATTTAACAATGGTAAGTATTCATCAAAAACAATCTGGATTTCTGGCTCCTCTTGGAACTTGGAAGATTGGACACACTGGGCCAGCCTGCCCATGTGGGAACACGGAGCTGGAGCTCAGAGGCACTGCCTCCTTTGGACAAGGTCCAGCTCCTCCTTTTCCCATTTGGCCTGTGTTTCCTGCCTGGCCCCTGTAGAAACTGGACTTGAGATTCTGAGATAAGAACAAGAATCTCAAAACAGTCTTGGAACTTTGCTTCATGGAGCTTCAACACCTTTTCAGATAGCATCTGCCACCCTAGGCATCACAAATGTACCCATTTTTCCAGGAACTCCTCATTCTCCATCCTGGGCCTTCAGGCTGTTTTCCTGCTCTGTGTTCCTTCCTAAGAGAAGGGTTCTCCCCCTGCCAGCCTCACCTGCCCACTCCAGCATGTCCTCAATATTCTCTGCTGCCCCAGGCACAAGGCGGGTCTGATCTGTGTCCTCCAGCCTCAGGATGAAGCTCCCCCGGTGCTTCTTAGCAAAGATGTAGTTGTAGAGGGCAGTGCGGAGGCCACCCAGGTGCAAGAAGCCTAGTAGAGGAAGAGAAGAGCTCAGACAAGACAGGGAAGATGAGCTCACAGGTCTCAGCTGAGGAGCAGGTAAGCTCTTCTTGTGACAAAATGGCCCAACGAATTTTGAAGACCAAGAAACAGCTCCTCCTGTTCCCATCTCTCCAGCAAGCATCCAGAGCCAGACTGCCATGGAAGAGGGCTGGGTGTAGATGCCGTTAGTCCTCATCCTGGAAGTAGAAGACCACCCAGGTTTTGGAGCATGTCATTTTGGAAAAAGGCTCCAACTCTCCCAACTGTACCCACTATTTTTCTGTGATATTTGCTTCAAGGCCAAGTTTCACCCAAAGGAGAAGCAGAGTATTACTCATTGAAGTTCTATCATATGTGCATTTAACTTGTGTGAATTCAATGACGTGCTCTGACAAAAAAGATTAATTACAAATGAATTACAAAATTTACTTTTTTGGGTAGTTGGCCACTGTGAGGATCTGGACCCTTGACCTTGGTGTTATCGGCACCATGCTCTGACCAAGCTAGCCAACCAGCCAGCCCAATTTACAAATTTAAAGTAAAATGAAATCACATTTGGCATTTGCACTGCATGCACTGTAGGTAACTATCCAGGTTGTACATTTTGAATTTTGTCTACTTGAGATTTTCACTTTAAGCACTGGCTTTAAGCAACTAACCAGAAGCAATATTTGATTCCACTGTACTTCTCTTCACCCGAGTTTAAACTCCTAACATTCTACTTTTTCATTATTCCTGATTGAAAACTTAAAACTAACAGTTTTCCCAGGACTGTAACTTTCTCCTTACCCTACCTTCTTTGGACCAGCCTACTGCCCTGAGTCTCCACAATGAGTTCATCTGCCAGCCTACTGCCCTGAGTCTCCACAATGAGTTCCAGGTACAGGAGGGAGCACAGGATAGGAAAAGCTCTTCTGAGGTCAGGCACACCCTAGTTTAACACTGATTATATGGGTGACCTTTGCCTAGTTATTGCAAGGCCAACATAAAACCAGTAGAGTTCAGTAGTACTGGGTCCCAGGAGTCTCTAAGACATAAGACAGGGGCCCAGCAGTTGAAAGCAAGTCCTCTTCCATCAGATATACCTGGATCCAAATTCTGCATCCACCATTTACTAGCTGCTACCCCTTGGGAACCCTACTTAACTTTTATGAGTTTCAGTTTCCTATCTGTTAGAGAGATTAAAAACAAAAATAGGAACTTTCCAATTATGAGATTGTTGTGAGGTCTAACTGCTAACCAAAGTACAACCCTCAATTACTTTTAGCTATTATGATGATCTATGTTGCTTGATAATTCTCAACAGCCTTTTCTATATGGGCTTTTCCCACAAACAAGCAGGAAGCGAGAATTATAATCATCATAATAGAGAACACTGTTTATTAAGTACCTACACATACCAGACCTTGCTATGTGGCTCAGCTGCATTAGCCAAACCTATAAGTCTATTACTGAGAATTATAATCATCATAATAGAGAACACTGTTTATTAAGTACCTCTACACATACCAGACCTTGCTATGTGGCTCAGCTGCATTAGCCAAACCTATAAGTCTATTACTAGCCCTGTTTGACAGATGGTAAAACTGAGGCTCAGAGAGGTTAAGTAACTTGTGCAAGTCACACTTCTAGAAAGTGGCAAAAACAGAAATCTGCATTCAGACAATTTCAGGCCTTGGCACTCTAAGTGCTCCTCGAAGCAAAGTGTGCAGTCCAGTGCTGGTCTGCAAACTGTTGGCAGTTTTCAACCAAGTAAGCATAGAAACAGAGTAAACATTTACAAACTTACAGGAATTTGACAGAGTAATTTTATGTCTGTTGAACCTAACAAAAAGAACTGGGATTGTACTTTGTATGTTTCCAAAATTTCCATTTTTCTAGTATTTCGTTTATTTATTGATCCACAATTGACTGGGAACTAAAAACCAGTGCTTCCACCACGGATGATTTGAGAAGCACTGCTCTACAAGATGCTGCCTGTCCTGTAACTCGGTGCAGCTGGGATCTTGCCACAAAGATTCTTATCTGCCGACCCTGGGGTTTGGAATGCCAGGCATGCTCGGTGCGGAGAGGGCAAAAGGTAGTCTCCCTGAGAAAAGAATGTTGGGGACTGGTGGGGAGGCCTGACAAGATCTTCAATCAGCCATACAATGGGCCTTTGCCTCCCTCTGGCTTGTTAAGTTCCAACAAGATTTCCTCTACCCAGAAGGTTCCTCCTATAGACTTCACATAGCTGGCTCCTACTCGTCATTTGGTTNTGTTGCTTGATAATTCTCAACAGCCTTTTCTATATGGGCTTTTCCCACAAACAAGCAGGAAGCGAGAATTATAATCATCATAATAGAGAACACTGTTTATTAAGTACCTACACATACCAGACCTTGCTATGTGGCTCAGCTGCATTAGCCAAACCTATAAGTCTATTACTAGCCCTGTTTGACAGATGGTAAAACTGAGGCTCAGAGAGGTTAAGTAACTTGTGCAAGTCACACTTCTAGAAAGTGGCAAAAACAGAAATCTGCATTCAGACAATTTCAGGCCTTGGCACTCTAAGTGCTCCTCGAAGCAAAGTGTGCAGTCCAGTGCTGGTCTGCAAACTGTTGGCAGTTTTCAACCAAGTAAGCATAGAAACAGAGTAAACATTTACAAACTTACAGGAATTTGACAGAGTAATTTTATGTCTGTTGAACCTAACAAAAAGAACTGGGATTGTACTTTGTATGTTTCCAAAATTTCCATTTTTCTAGTATTTCGTTTATTTATTGATCCACAATTGACTGGGAACTAAAAACCAGTGCTTCCACCACGGATGATTTGAGAAGCACTGCTCTACAAGATGCTGCCTGTCCTGTAACTCGGTGCAGCTGGGATCTTGCCACAAAGATTCTTATCTGCCGACCCTGGGGTTTGGAATGCCAGGCATGCTCGGTGCGGAGAGGGCAAAAGGTAGTCTCCCTGAGAAAAGAATGTTGGGAACTGGTGGGGAGGCCTGACAAGATCTTCAATCAGCCATACAATGGGCCTTTGCCTCCCTCTGGCTTGTTAAGTTCCAACAAGATTTCCTCTACCCAGAAGGTTCCTCCTATAGACTTCACATAGCTGGCTCCTACTCGTCATTTGGTTTTCAGCTTCAGTGTTATCTCCTCAGTAAGACCTTCATGAACATCCTACCAACTCCCAGTCCCCTACCCTGCTTCATTTCTCGCATAGCACATTACATCTGAAGTTACATTTACTTTTACACGTGTTTGTCGGGGACACAAGAATGTAAGCTTCTCAGGGGTTCTGACTTTCTCAATGATCACTCTATCCCAGTGCCTAGAACACGATTTAGATTTATACTCAATACACACTTACTGAATGCATGGTACAGTACAATACAAAGGAATTTCTGACAACATGAATCATCTAGGCCCCTCGACCTCAGTTTTTGCCTCTGTAGAATGGGGTCGCGCTGCCCACCCAGACTGACACCACCGGAAGGGAACATTGAGGGGCGGGGACGAGACAGTGGGCCGCGGCCTGCAGAGTCACGTCCGCCGAGGTTACCTGTGGGGCTGGGGGCGAACCGCACTCGCACCGCAGCGCCGGCATCAGTGCCCAGGCTGGCCTCGCGCAGTCCCACGGGGCGACTCAAGGCCGCCGGAGGCCTCCCGGGCTGCAGCAGCCTCTTCGTGAGCGCCGCCATGTGGGGTGGGATCCCACACGTGGACTTCTCTAGCGTCACTTCCGGGAACCCCTCCCGCCAATCCACCTCCGCCACAGCAAGCGCAGCCCCGCCTCTTAAAGTCGCAGTCCTTCTCGCTTGAAAGCCCACGCCCCCTTGGGCGGCTGCGGCCCCAGTCGGCCACTAGGGGGCAGAGCCCGTGGAGCGGGTGATTTTTCGGACCCGCCCCCGCCTCCGCTCGGGAAAGCTAAAGCGTGGCAGGGGCCGGCCGGGGAAGCGGAGGAGGCGGGTCTCCATAGAAACCTCCACCTGTTTCCGGCTCGGCTGCGAGAGATCAGGGGCTGCC